TCTTGGTTTTTTTTTTTTTTTTTTTTTTTTTTTTTTTTTTTTGCCTGGGACATCGTTTTTCTTAGATTTAGTTAGAAGAACTCTCCCTCTTTCAGAAATAGTTCTGGCATTTATCTTTGCATTTTTACAAAGTGACCATATAAATTCATATTAATTAGATGAAAATTGCTGTTGCCTACATGACACAAGGCATGCTGTCTTGCTATTTCTTAATATATCTGAACGTGATATAAGATTCTTGTTGACTCCTGACTTTCATTTAGAATGTTACCAACTGCACATCAATGGGCTTTGCATTTTCACTATATCGTGATATCTAAACCAGTCTGTTTTCCTTTCTATGTCAGTGTAAGTGTCTGTCATGAAGGAAGGGTCAGCAAGAAGACTTTTCTTACTATACCAGTATCACTAAAGCTTATCCATATGAAATTTTTAAGAATGCTTATGCCATCCCACTTAAATAATAGTTAAATATTTTAAGAGCAACAGTGGACAATGAAAGCATCTATTCCTCGGTACTGTGTGGTTTTCCTGGGAGGTGGGATGGGGGAGGCCTCGCTAGGGCTTCACAGATATAAATCAAATGCAAAATACAGTTTAGAGTCCCATGTCTGTCTTTTCTGTCATTCAGTGCAGTAACCTCAACATGTTATTTCTATTCCAGAGAGGCCAAACACAGTCTCCACCACCCCCAAAACCTCCATCTCCTAGCTTTGAATTGGGTTTATCTAGCTTTCCTCCATTACCCGGGGCTGCTGGCAATTTAAAGACCGAAGACCTTTTTGAAAACAGACTGTCCAGTGTGGTAATAGGAACGTCAAAAGAAAGAGTGAGTAGCCGGTGTTCATTTTTGTTGGGAAAACAAAGAATTGCATACCTCTTGTTTTCAGATTTGGTGGCTTATGCGTAGAAAAAACTTAGGGTTTTTCATGGGTCGTAAGAAGTGCTTTTAAAAAACAGCTGTCAAGTGATGTGCTACCGCTTTCTTCACTTATGTCTTACAGTTTGTTAGGTATTCTCTTTGAAATGGTGTGGAATATGAGCACCAGTATAAGTAAGTGTTAATAGAAGAGATTTGAAAATATACTCTTTGCTGTTCATAATTGCCTCAGGCTTTTTGATAGACTCAGGTGAAAAATATGTGATAAATTTTCCTCCTGTTTGAAAGTCAGACTTCTGAGTTGTATATAAAACACTTTAAAGTGACAGAGACAAACTTTTAAGCACTGAAATATAAAGAAGTTCCCTACATAAACTCAGTACACTAGGCATCATAGCTGGAACAAGAACTGTTACCAAAACCAGCTGGATCCCAGCGTTGTCTTGTCATATTGCTTGGAAAGATAGAAATATATCAGAATGACTTGGCAACCACTGCTTTCTAGATGTAGTAGAGATACAGTTGAAAATTAATGTTCAGTAGCTGTTCATAGATTTCATTCTTAGAACTGTCTCTGCCATGCCATCTGTGAGTGGCAGTATGTTTTCCTCCATCAAGACTCATATAATCCTGTACACTATGGAACAGTCTAGGCTATGGAAGTCTATATTGGGGTTTTTTGCTAGCTCTAATTTGTGTTTTTGTAGCTGTACCACAACTGAAGGAAGTTAACCCCTGGATATAGCAGTGCAAAAGCAACCTGATGAAACACCAAAATCTCTCTCTTGTGTCTCATCTCTAAAACCAGTCTATTGCAGAAGTGTTTTCTTCAGTGCCCACGTACCAGGGGTGGGTAGGGAAGCCATTTGTTGGTAAAGGAGAGAGGAAGCAGCAAGGCAGCCTGCACCTAAAGCAGTAATTGTGCAGACAAGCTATCTATTTTGTCTCCTACAAGTGGTAATAGGGACAAATACATTCCAGGGTTGCTTTTAGGGGGAATATGCATGACAGTGCCATGGTAAGAGCAGTGTTTAATTTACTGTCAGCTGGTACTCCAGACTGTAGTCTGTTCTTGGCCAAGATCTAACTATTTTTAAAGTATTTTACCTCTGTTATTTCTGAAGTGTTTTTTGACTGCCATATTTCAGATTTAAATAAAATTCCAGCACTTGCTATTTGATACTTCTCCTGCTTTCAGCTGGGATAGAGTTAACTCTCTTCCCAGTAGCTGGTACAGTGCTATGTTTTGAGTTCAGTAAGCAAAGAATGTTGATAACACTGATGTTTTCACTTGTTGCTAAGTAGTGTTTAGACTAAAATCAAGGATTTTTCAGCTTCTCATGCCCAGCCAGCAAGAAAGCTGGAGGGGCACAAAAAGTTGGCACAGGACACAGCCAGGGCAGCTGACCTAAAGCGGCCAACAGTGTATTCCATACCATGGGACATCCCATCTAGTTTAGGAACTGGGAAGTGGGGGCAGGGAGTCGCCGCTCGGGGAGTAGCTGGGTGTAGGTCGGTGGGTGGTGAGCGATTGCACTGCGAATCATTTGTACATTCCAATCCTTTTATTATTACTGTTGTCATTTTATTAGTGTTATCATTATAATGATTAGTTTCTTCTTTTCTGTTCTATTAAACCGTTCTTATCTCAACCCATGGGTTTTGCTTCTTTTCCCGATTTTCTCCCCCATCCCACTGGATGGGGGGGAGTGAGTGAGCAGCTGCATGGTGCTTAGTTGCTGGCTGGGGTTAAACCACGACAATACTGCAGTTGCTCCTCCCATTACAAATCTAGTACTTGCTTTGCACTCTACTTATTGTATAAGAACTTACATTTCTCCCCTGTAGAGGCAGTCTTAATATCAGTCAGGCACTGAGGTTTTATGATAGTGCAATGCACTGTTACATTGAAAAGCTTCCTTTGATTTCCCACTTTTTCCAGCTTGCATGAGTTAGTCTGTACCATTGTGTGGAGGAAAAGGATTGTGCTATCTTTCCTTGTTGACATTATTAAGGAATAAGATAACAGCAATTGGCTCCAAAGAGCAATTGTGTTCTATTATAAAGGTGTTTGAGTTAATGTTAGAATCTTGCCAATGTATACAGGCTGCTTTTCACCTTGATCTCAAGATTTTTTCATGTCAACTGATGTAGAGTGACAAAGTGCCAAGTAGAGTTACACAGTGCTACTCTTGTTTTATAGATGGGCAGGTCCAGTGTACAGAAGCTGAGTGAACTTAGGTTGTATAATTTTGAACAGTTGTTATCCAAGCATCATATCTTATGGTCTTAGCTTTGTGGCGCTCTTTTAGATGTAGCTCTGGGGAATGGTAGGTGTTAATCATCCCACATTTTCTAACTAGGAGACTGCAGCGCTGTCAGATCAGGGGCTGAGTGTTTTGGCCTAGGAACAGCACTTGCATGTCTGCTTGAGTTGAAACTATTCACGCTTAACCACGTACCTACAAGTTTTGATGACCTTGGGCCAGAATGCTCAGCAACTTGCAATTGCAAACCTTTTCACATACTATTAGAGTGAGTAAAACTATAGAAGCTGTTCTTTTATTTCTAAACATCCACCTTTTATGGTTTTACTTTTACTTTGAGTAAAACTAGGCTTAGGTCTACTGCAACAATCTCTGCTACCTGATTTAAAACAATGTTATCAAGTACAGTATTCCTTTCTAACAGTGACCGTAGGAGCCTCATGTTTTATTACCTTTGAATGGCGGCTGGGCTGGGGGAAAGGGGTGGCTATCTTGTTCCTCCTGTGCTTGTGTTCTCCTGTTGCTCTCCCTTCTGCACCAGAATCTGTTCTGGTTCTAGAGTCAGACAGGTCAGAAAAAATACGAAGAACGTAGCACTTCTTAAACAAACAAAATGGTTATAAATGTCAGAAATACATTTTTCAAGATACAAAGCCTTCTTTCTTTCTCTATTCTTATTTTGTGACAATTTAAATTCATGCATGCATCTTGAACCGATTTGGCCTTTATCTGGAAGCACAGTATCCATTGGCAGTAGCAGAATCTTTTGAGGGCTATGGAAAAAGCCTCTTTTGCTTGGTAGCAAATCACACTATAGCATAAGAAAGGGACTTTTAAATGATGGTCATATCCTAGTTTGCAAAAACTTTTTTTAAGGTTGGAGTTTTTAGCACCAGCTATCAGGATGATGCTGAGTTAGAGCTTTGAAGGTGACAGTTATAGGAGACGTTTGTCTTAATAGGCTAACTATGGTTATGTGAACAGGCACAAAGCCTACTTTGTCACCAGCAGGTGCAAAGTTCCCAGGTTGAAAGAAGTGATTTTGCCATCCAGGTATGTCTCAAAGGGAACTAAGCTTCCAACTTTTGGGGAAAGAGCCATAGTGTGTGCTTTATTTGTCAGCGTTTCTAAATAATTATAAAAGAAAAACCTTATTTGTTACAGTACATATATTGGATCCTTCTATATCTTGCTATAGTTAATTTACACTTTTATAAATCAACTTATAAACTGTTTCCCAATTGTGTTAATTTTCAGGCAAACCATATTAATTTGATACTATGATTGCCCTTCTGTGCCTTTTTTTTTTCTCCTCCAGAACATTAATGTGGATGCAAGTACAAACACTGTTCCATCGGGAATTCCTCGAGAGCCGTTGTTGCCAGTTTCTTCTACATTGCCCAGGACGTTTGAAAGGTCTCCTTCGCCATCCCAGTCTTCTGAGTAAGCATTTAATTGCATGGCTATAACTATTCTGCTCTAAATCACATTCACATTCTCTGTCATCAGAAGGCTAGGTGGAACACTGTAAATAGCTATTAAAGTCTTAATCAATGACAGAATTTTTTTGCTGTATATTGTACTTGTAAAGGCAATAAAGCTTAATTTCTGAACAATATCATAACAGTGATTCAGTCATAACAGTCATTCAGCAGACAAAAGTTTAGTGTTGTGTTTTAGTCTCTGCAAGTATTTAAAAGTTCAATGAATACCTAACTGTATTGTATTTAGATAGCTTTGAAGCATAGCAAGTAAATCCACGATCTGTGGGCAGTACTGTTGTCCATACAATAAAGAAAGTTTTCAGTAAGACTTTATTGGGAACCTGCAAATCAAATTGAGGTGTTTGAGTAACAGGAGTAAGATAACTGAATAACCAAATATTATCAGAATGTCACAAATTACAAGTAGCGTCAAGTTCCACAGGAATATTCTTTTTTAATATTTGATAGCATTTTTAAATGCAATGCTAGTCATAATGTGCTAGGCAAATTATAGCTATAACTCTTTATAGTCATACTCAAAGTTTTAGACGAGTTATTAGATCATTCGTCTATCCTGAAGTTTCACTTTTCATGAGCCTTGCTTCCTGCTGGATGCTTACAGGGACTCCAAGGTTGTGGATAAACAGCAGAGAGAGACACAGAGTACAGAAAGGCTTTCTTCTTCCACACTCAGTACTGCATGTAAATCGGTACAAGTCAATGGAGCTGCCATAGTAAGTGACCTTATTATTTCACTTTCTCTTAATGATCTAGTTTGATACATTTAACAGAATATTGCTTCCATTGCTACCCAGTGTTGCTCAATCATATGATCCCAGCATCCTTAAATTTGTGTGGTGTTGGCCTCCTGATTACTTGTATGATACAATTATGCAATTAACAGTGCAAAACTGTTCAAGGTAACTTGGCAAATGATAGCTCTTTATCTGAATTCTCTTCTTGATGGTATCCTTGAGGTAGAAGCATTAATACATATGATGATATTTAAACCAGACTATTCATTGTCTTTCAGCTGTTTCAGAGTGTTCTTGAATTGGAAGTATTTTGCCCTGTCACAGTACTCAATTTTTCTAGCATACCTTTTTGCGTTTTGCCTTGTCTTAAACCTTATTGTCTCTACAGCTTCTGTAAACTTCATACTCTAGCCCTCATCTGCATATTTTAGTGCAGCAGTCTTTTGGGACAAAGACTTTTACCCTTTTTGTTCATAAAAGTAAATAATTTTTTTTCCTCAGGATGCTTTGTTTAACGCTGCTGTTCTGTTTGCTTTTGATTTCACAGGAACTGCGAAAACCTAGTTATGCAGAAATTTGCCAGAGAACAACTAAGGATCCTCCTACATTGCAACCCCAGAAAGAACAGAAGCCAAACACTGTAGCATGTGGGAAAGAAGAAAGAAAGCCCACAGAAACAATAGAGAAAAACAGAGAACCTCCTCCTGCAAAGTCACATCCTGGACAACCCAAAGACCAGAGGAGACAGTCAGGACGCAGATCGTCCCCTCCAGCTGTTGGCAAACGCTTAAATAAAGAACAGAATACCCCTCCGAAATCTCCTCAGTGAAACTAACACCTGGGAGGGATTTGAGAAGAGGTCTGCTTCCCACAAATTAAACCCATGTTCCCACTAAGATACCTGAGAATGAGTTGCTGGTTAGGAGCTTGCAGTGATACTAGGCATATAACAATGCCTGCAAGTTATTTTTCTGTGAAATACTTTTTCCCCTCTTGAACAAACATTCTATTTTTCTGGATATTTCTGGATAGTTGTTCTAAACCTTACATTTAGGTTGGTGCTTAATTGGAGGTGAAGCTTAGTGTGATTATTTTTTTCCAAGATGTAAAATATTTGTCTTTAAAAAAAATCAACTTTTTATTAAGCCTCTCTGTGGCTGTGTGAGTGCAAGCTCTGTATAGTGAGTTTTTTCTAAACTGTTAAGCAGAAATGTGCTGCTGCAATATTTTTAATAAACTGGTCTGCAAGTACATATCTAAAGTGTCCAAAAGACTGATAACGGCAGCTAGTGTGTAGAGTGCAAGGAAGTAGATGTATTTTACGAATTAGTATGTGACCTTGAAGATTTTTTTATTGGGCTGCTGTACTAAGTGTCAGCAAATGAACTTGCACTTTTAGGTTAAAGGAGTAGTTGTTTCTAGCGTTTTTAAAAATTTAATCTTTTTTTGATGTTTTGCACACACAAAATGAATCCTACGGAGCACCATAGCAGTCTTTCTAAAATACTTCCTTTTTTGACTTACTGCAAGCAAGTAACCATCTTCTCACTCCAGAATAAAACTGATGTTATAATTTGCAAATACAAAGCACATTGTGAATAGAAAGAATTAAGTCTGTGAGCTTCTATGGTGGTGAAGCCTGTTAGTGGATGTTATCAGGAGAAAGCACTGTAGCCTTCTTGTGATAACCTTAGCTTCCCTGTGCTTGTAAGGGAGTTAACTGAGTCAGCGCTGTATGTTCTGGTTACCCCTGTGCTCTGTGTAGACTTTTTTTTAAACTCTGCCCCAAGTGCTCTTTGAAAGAGTTCATATCTTAGTCAGCCTTGTGTTGACATCTTCCTGTAACTACAAGCATTGGCATACGGATTTAAATTTTTTCAAGACGTGAGATAATGGTGTTTGTTTTGTGTGGTGGAGGAAGAGATCCCTGATATTTACCTCTGGGATGAGGTTTCTCACACTTATTTACTTTAGAAGTGATGCGCTTTCTGAAGGACAAGGATGCACTAAATTAGCAAGTTTCTAATAAAGTTGAATATAAATTATTTTTGTTTTAAAATGCCTAAAGTTTTTCTTTAAGTGTTTAAACTGCAGGAAGTTCAGACAAAACTCATTCCTGCTGACTATGACAGTACAGTTTATTCCACAAAAATGTTTATTTAAACAACTGATTTTTTTAAAGAATTATTTCCATCCAATATTTAAAGACTTGAATTTTATTTAAACTTGAAAATGACTTTGCCTTAACTTTTGTACAAGACAGCTTAGAGTTAATGAGGTCTGACCCCGTGGAGGGTTAGCGTGAGTGGAATACAGAATTACTCAGTTACAGTATGTATCTATTGTCACTGGTCTTACTGGGTAAACATACTGTAGTACAGGAACTAGCAGCAGTTTTTGTAATATACCTTAAAGATCTTAAACAGTTGATCTTTTTCAGATTGTTGAAAAACCTGTAAATGCAAATAGTCAATACTGTATTAAATATGTGCACTTGGAAGTGTGTGCTTTGCTTGTACAGTTGTAAATAATCAGAACATATAAAAAGGTACCCTAAAGAAAAAATCTGATAAAAATTATTGATATTATAAATGTTGCTGTTGAGCTGGATGTAGATAAACTAAATGTTGTGGTTTGAATATTACTTTAATTTGTTGTTTTTTCTTTTTCTTATTTTATTCTGGTGTGCTGAACTGACTCTGCCTCTTCACTGCAAAAGGGAAACGGAACGAAAGTCTTATTTGAAAGCCCTCAAATGTTTTCCTAAGTCCCTCTAAAAACAAGCGATTTAACCAATTCAAAAGTGTTCTGCAATGTAAATAGTGAATTTCAGCAGTCAAATTGTAATTTTAAGTCATTAATAAAATCAAATTTAATTGGAAAAAATTTTAGACTGCTACAAAAATATACACAAAGCTTACTTGTCTGCTTTCAAGAATATCAGTGCTTTCCTTAGTGTATGATTCCTAGAACTGTAAAGTAACTATAGAAGTTGACTCCTGATAAATTTCCTGTTACAAGCATCAACTGGTAACTAGTTGACCTTTTAAATCCAGCCTGTTGTATGCTGCAGAATTGGTCAAAATAGGGCATGCTGGAATCTGTTGATTTTTCTTGTTTAAAAAGCACACTTCGTGAATGCTGTGGGAGGAGATAGGACTCTGACAACATCACCAAAACCGCTCAACTAGTTCTGTCATTGGATTTTTAATATGCTTCTCCTTTCCCCAGTGGCAGTGAAAATGGTAGCTAGATTTGTGTATGGTTTAGGCCGGCTGTATGATTCATTTTGTTTGTCTGCTGCAAGTGAAAGGCTTACCAGCTGCAAACAATCACAAGTGGTTCCTTACAGCGACTGTGTACAGCTAGTCATAATACTCAACTGGTACCTAAGGTAATATAGAGACCAGCGGGATGTGTTGTGCTGTTCTAATGTATTCTGCTGCCATTTGTGCTAGGTCAATACACTGTAATTACTGCTTACCCAGCAACAGTCTGTTGCATCGAAAGTTTAAACCTTCCTCTGATGTGGTTTTTATAGCTTTTTTAAAAAACAAAAAAAGTGACACGCCAAATAGCTGTGTAATATACGACCTATCCTTACTGCATTTCACTTTGAGATTTATTTTTTTCCACTCGGTGACAAAATGGAGTTTTTGGAGTAGAGTTGTGAAGTTGCATGCAGACTGTTGCTACGATACATAGAGAGATTAAAATGAAAAACCTCCCAAAAGCAGTAGCTGAGTTAAAGGTTCAGGGGTACAGTAACTAAAATTGGCATTTTACCTTGTAGGACTGTGTGGTGACACTTTTCATTTTGAAAACAAGTCAAAATGGGATCTGAGACTCTTCTTCCAGGAATTTAAAAAAACAAAGATTGCTTTTAAAACTTAATGTTGTTTCAGATCAGTCCCCCACCATGACACTGTCCTTTGCCACTTAGAAATCTGTGAACAGTGGCAATTTTTTTGTGTTGCTGCATTATCCTTCAAAGACTTCAGCAGTTGGCATAGAAAGGCCCTTGTTTGAGTGTGGTGCAGTGTATCACGAGCAACAGCTGACTGTAATGGTGCATACCTATCTCTGTATCTCCTTCTGCTAGCTACAGTTAGGGATTTTTATGTGCTTTGTAACCTATTACACTAATAGCAGCAGACAATCGAAGATTTCTAAGGAGACCTAACAGCTGCCAATTCACGAAATAGAAGTGTAATATGGGAGCCTTCCTGAGGGTTTTTGTTTTTGTTCTTCTTCCATTAAGACTGGAATCAAGCTTACATGTAAACTATCAGTAATTTAAGTTTCCTTTTGTGTCATAAAATGTAAAACTGTCTAATTTGAAAAAAATATGTAGGTTATGAAAAATAAAGATTTAGGCACTGTTGAATTCCTGATTTTTTTAATTAAACCTTTCTTCAGCAGTATTTTTCATTACCTTTTGTCTTTTGCTCCCATTTTTGGAAATTATATATTTCTAATTTTGGGAAAAAAAAATCTTTGCTTACTGTACTGTTCAGCACAGCTGTTGTAACCATCACCTAAGGCTATGTAGCAGCAGCAAGAACACCTATAATATAATTCTGAAGGCAGCAATATCTATCTCTATTAGGTAACTGTGACTGGTTAACTCTTTTAAAAGCAAACAAAAAAAGCTGATGTGATGTTCTGTTTAGTAGAGGTTATCATCTTCAGTAGTGGTTTCCTCAAATTAGATAAAGTGTTGGCTTGGTCTTAAATGTGGATTTTAAAGTTTGGGTTAGTGCTGTGGTTGCACGGCTCTTGAATCCAGAGGTGTCCTGGGGTTATTTTTTGCTTTGGCTGGTTTTAGAGGTTATCCTGGTCACACTCCTAGGAAAGAAGAGCTTCTGGGATATCCTCCTTCTAAGTAAAAGTTCTATTTTGGAAACACTTGAAACACCCCCCCCCCCCCCCCCCGCCCCTTTTTTTTTCCTAGGTTTGTCTCTCATTCAGCTATATCTGACCAAGTTTAATAATAGACATAAGCATGGAAGTAGTAACAATTACTGTGTTTTGTAAGCGTCTTGGGAAGTATTGCAGTGTTATTCTTCAGGCTGGATATCCTGTAAGCTGGACAGGTTAGGCTGCTTGCTGCTTTATTTCCCCAATACTGTCTGCTCAACAGAGTAGGGCAATACAGGAGTACCAGTGTACACTGGGCACTGCAAGTTTCTCCATGTTAGAAAAGTCAGTTAAACATTAGGCTTTGGTGGTGACGTGGACTACAAGTACTTGAAGGCAACCAATTTTCACTTCAGCATGGAGTATCCTGTTCTGCCCTTGGAACTCAGCTTTACTTAACAGGTAAAAATGCATGGAAATTTGTCAGCAATGTTGCCATAATCCTAGTGTGGCTCTTCAGGGCCACCCCAGCTTTGGCAGAAATTGGAGATTTATTTGTTCACACAACAAAATTAGGCAGTGTCCCCTTTGTGCTAGTTTTCCCCAATACAGAGTGATGTTTAATGATAGCTGCACCAATGTTCATGTTGAACAAATTGTTTTGTTTCCTCTTGGGCATGAGGAGGAAGAGTGACTATGGAAAATTACATGCGATTAATGTAATCCAGAGATTACTTATTGTCACAGAAACTGTGACTCATTGCATTTTGATGCTAAGGCTTCTTTAGAAAAAAAAATATTTTATTAAGTTTTAAGTTTTCTAATATGCTTTGACTTCACAAACCTCTGGAAGTTAAAGCCTCTTACTCTGTTGATTATCATGGCCAGGCTTTTATGAGTGCAACTGCTTAAGTCAGGGAAGTGATTGAATTTCAAATTCTGCTCCTTTATAGGTGGAAGTAATGTTACCCACTTCATCTCTGCTTTTGAGAGAAAAGCTGTGTAGCAGTATAGAGCCCTGGTGCCATCTGGCTAGAGTAGCTCAGTTACTGCGACATCCACTCTCGGCATGGATATACACTTTTCATATAGTTCAATGTTCAACTGAAGTTGATCAAGTAGAAATTTGCTCCTATTGAAGTGGTGCAAGGAATACTGTTAACTGAACTGTTATGCCAAATAAGCACAAAAATGCTGTGAAGAGGCTGGCCTACCTGAGCCGTGCCATGTCCTTGCTGGCCGTCAGCTCCCTCGCGTCAGCACGCTGCCCTGTCTGAAAAGTAACTGAGAAAGAGGAATGGATCAGAAGCTCTTGTGGTACCATCAGCAGAATGGAGGAGGGGACGGGAATACGCCTTCGGTGCCCAGAGGAGACTGGCATGGTAATCGTCCTGGCAGGGACAGCGTCTTACATCAGCCGAAGCAAACTGAGTATTTGTACAACTAGCTTATGACAAATGGAAGGTAAAAAGTTTTGGCTTAACTGCAGCCTTGCTTGCTCAGGTGGACATGACTCAACTCATCAAGCTTGGTCATTTTTGAGCCTTATTTTCACAATGGGGAGAAGAAGAGAGGAGAAAAGGTCTGGTTTTTGCTTTAGCCTTTTTGGTTATTCTGAGGTACGAGCTGTAAACGTGCTAAATCTTAAATCTTGTCTCATGGTGATGGACTATCAGAAGTCTTTGTGCATCGACTTGTTGCAACTGGTTTGGGAGCAGTTCACTGTTTTGCAAAATGGAGGGCAAAACATGTATGTGCTTGGGGAAGGGAGTCTTAAGAGAAAACTGCCCCCTAATCTCTCTTAATTTCTCATCAGTTTGAAGAGCAAAGTGCTTTGTGTGCTTGTGTTAGGCACATATGGTGCGGAAACCATCCTGCAGTCTGATAGCTTTACATCCCATTTACTGTAGGCAGATGGTGTCTGCAGAGTAGTAAATCTACCATGGCTAAGGATGCTCTGAGGAAGGAGGGATAAATGGATGAATTTAGAGTTGTAAAACATACCAAAGCTGGGAAGATCTGTGAAATCTACGTGGATGGAATTATTGATACCTAATGTAATGTGTCTAATGTCTTCCAAAATTGGAGCCGAAGTCGTATGTATGCTCTACATGCAGCTTGAGATGTCAGCCCAGGCAGAACAAGTGAGCAAGGTTCAGCAGGTCTAGCCTGACTGACTCTCTCATCTCCAAGGTTGGGAGTGTTTTCCAAGAGCTACAGTTCATAGGCTGTAGCACACGTGAGAAACCTTCATCGCTCTTGCTTTTGTGTCTCCGACTTCGGCCTACGTAGTTTGGGCTTTGGATGCTAGTGTGCAGCTCGTGCAGCAGAGCTGGCTCTCGATGCTGCAGCGGCTCGCAGCTCCCACCATCCAGCCCGGTGTGGTGTGGGAGGCAGCCGCTGGCCTTGCCGGACAGGAGGGTGGCAGGATGCGCTCTGTGGTGGGAACAGAGATTTTGGAGATGGGCAGTTAAGTAGGTTCTCTGGGGGAGAAGGCCTGTTTCCTAGATGATGCTTCTCAGGGATCTGCGGTGTCTGGCTAGCCTTGCCAATGCAGTTTCCTACTCCTCCGCAAGGACGAATGTCGTTTCTATCTTGTTTCTCTTTAGAAAGAGGATGTGTAAGATTTTTTAGTCTTTTTCCCTCTCCTGGTATATTCTTCTCCTTCTCCTTTAGTGATTCAGTGCTTTCACTCTTGAGAGCTGCATTGCTTGTGGAAGACGGCAGCTGTTGATCCCTGCTCCTAAGAATTACACCTATTTTCAGAAATACAATAGGCTCAGCATTTTGGAACATTTCAGTTCGCTGGAGTTTTATTTTTTTGTCCCACTTGTTAAAACAACTTTGGTGCTCAAAAGAGGATTATCTTGATATGTGTCAATTCTTAGCCTCTAGGTTCCCAAACTATTATGTATACAATAAATTCCAAAAAAGTATGCTCTATCTTTGAATATTTATAGCTGTTGCTGAGTTTATGGTGTTTGTCAGATACTACGTTCTTCATGTCTATGTTTTCTGGAATCTGTGTCCTTTCAGCACACTGGCAAATGCTAGCTCCATCTTCTGTAGCGTGACTTGTGGTGGTACTGAGGGAAGATGTCTGGCTTTGAAGCTATGGCAAATAAGCGCTGGAGAGACCTGTTGATTCAGACAGTAGACACTGAAGTGATGGATTTGCTGGAGTGATTTTCTCAGGGAATTTGATTGCTGGGACTAGCAATCAAATGCTTCCTTGGTAGCAAATGCTGTTTCAGATAAACCTCTGAATTTTACTTTTCGTTTGAATTAGCTTTTCCCATGGAGACCTAAACTCAGCCATGCTGGCTGCCATCCTGTGTACTGACGCATGCTTTCATCTTAGCCTGGAAAATCTGAAGGCAGCCACACTGGGTTGGACACATGGAAGTTAGGTACTGGGTTTAATGTACATTGAGCTTGAAAATCAAAAAAAACAAGAGATGCTCTTTGGAACTGGTTTTTAGTTCTGACATGGAAAAGGGGATATAGGTACCACAAGTCGTTCCAGAATGGGAAGGTAGGGAAGTACAGCAGAGCTGGCCTTAGCAAGTCATGCAGACAGTGCACCGCATGCTTCACCGTTCAGCTGTAGCAGGCGCTGCTGTTCCAGTGGTTCTGACATCCTAAGATGCAGCAGATATTAGCAGTGTTTTGGTGTGAAAAGCCTCTACCTTTTCTGCATCAAATGGCGTAAAATTGTCTGAAACCAGATGTACTTACCCTTTTTCCTGTAACTTCAAGCTGTAGTTTCTATCGAAGGTTGCTCTTTAACTGTAAGAGGGTGAGCTGCTGATGTTTATCTATTGTATTGCTGGCTATGATATACCAAAGGTTCATTTTGTTGACCTGAATGTTGTAGACTTGGTGATCTTGACAGGCTGGAGAAATGTGCCAAAAGAAGTCTTACGAAGTTCAACAAAGGGACATGCAAAGTCCTGCACCTGGTGAGCAATAACCCCATATATCTGGGGGGTGACCAGCTGCAAAGCAGCTTTGCAGAAAAGGACCTGGGGGGTCCAGGTGGGCAACAAATTGGACATGAGCCAGCAACGTGCCCTCACAGTACGGAAGGCCAACGGCGTCCTGGGCAGCATGAGCAGGAGCATTGCCACCAGGTCGAGGGAGGTGATCCTTCCCCTCTGCTCAGCACTGGTGAGGCCACACCTGGGGTGCTGGGTCCAGTGCTGGGCTCCCCAGTCCAAAAAAGTCGTGGACATACTGAAGCGAGTCCAGTGAAGGGCTGTGAAGATGATTATGGGATTTGGAGCACCTGTCATACAAGGAGAGTCTGTGAGAGCTGGGACTGTTCAATCTGGAGAAGAGACAGCTCAGGGAGGTCTTACTCATGTGTACAA